AGACGGACATGGCTATATCGACTCGGCTAGTGACCCTGATCAAGAATATATATACTTTATAGGGTCGGAAACGCTTCCTTCTAGCTGTTACATACTTTTGCACGAATACAATATACCCTTTTACTCTACGAGTAACGGGTATAACTATAACAACGACTAGTAAGTAAAAAATTCTTGAGTTTTCTATATTTATACATCCAAATAAAGTGTAGATTCTTCATTTAATATTTGGTTGTGCATCTATTATTGGCAAAAACAGCCTCACAACGTCTTGGCATGGATTCAACCAAGTCCTGGCACCGTTTAGTGGGAATATGGGTCCAAGACACCTCCACTCCTTTCCAAAGTGATCTTACGGTGGTTGGCTTGGATCCAGCAACTGCCTTCTTGACATCGGACCACAGTTTTTATACCCTTGCAGAGGGTATTATAATTTTGGTCAAAAGTGTGCAACGCAGTGAAGGAGACATCTCCGACCCCATAAAGTATATATATTCTTGATCAGGATCACCTCCTGAGTTGATATAAGCATGTCCGTCTGTCCGTCTGTCCGTCTGTCCGTCCGTCCGTCTGTCCGTCTGTCTATCCGTCTGTCTGTCCGTCTGTCTGTCCGTCTGTCTGTTTCTACGCAAACTAGTCTCTCAGTTTTAAAGATATCGAACTGAAACTTTGCACACACCCTTCTTTCCTTTGTACGTAGTATATAAGACGAAACGGCCGGGATTGGCCGACTATATCCTATAGCTGCCATATAACTGATTAATCGGAAATGCCATAACTTTGGTATTTGTAAAGTTAGGAAGCTGGGATTTTCTATGGGTTTTATATTTGGCCAATCAATCCGACCTACCAAATTTCATAAGGATCGGCTGACTATATCCTTTAACTGCCATATAACTGATTGATCGGAAATGCCATAACTTTGGTGTTTGTAGAGTTCGAAAGTTGGGATTTTTTAATGGGTTTTATATTTGGCCAATCAATCCGACCTACCAAATTTCATAAGGACCGGACGACTATATTCTATAGCCGCCATATAACTGATTAATCGGAAATGCCATAGCTTTGGTGTTTGTTAAGTTAGGAAGTTTGGATTTTCTATGGATTTTATTTTTGACCAATCAATCCGACATATAACTGAACGATTGGAAATGCCATAACTTTTGTGTTTTTAAAGTTAGGAAGTTGGGATTTTTTATGAGTATTAAGAATGCATCATATGAATAATTTTGGAAAATATAATTTCCAGAATATTCTGCAAGGGTATATCAACTTAAGCGCCGCCCGAAGTTAGCTTTCCTTTCTTGTTTTTTTTTTAATTAGAGCACTTTTAAAAAATGCCTAAATGCCACATAATGTGGTCAAAAACCCCATAGTGCAATCATTTGATGGTATGTTTGGGGTCATTATCTTGTTGGAAGACCCATACGAGTGTCATTTCGTACTCTGCAAAAGGTTCCATAATCGTATCCAAAATATTTACGTACACGTCCTGATCCAGTATGGTTTTAATCCTATGTATTGGACCTACTCCATAATAGGAGAAACAGGCCCATACCATCAGACTACTCCCTCCATGTTTTATGGTCTTTGTGGTGTACTGCGGTATAAAATCAGAGTTTTTGGGACGCCTGGCGTACGATCGAGATCCTTTTCCACCATCAGAACGAACTTACTCTCTTCTGACCATAAGATATTCCTCCATTTTTGAAGTAGCCAATTAACATGTTTTTTGCAAACTTCATGCGCTTAGCAATATGCCTGGCATATGTACGAATTTCCTTCCAAAATCAATTTTTTAAGAAGTTTACGCTTTTTTGCAGTGCAGTGTTTTCCACGTCCCATTTTAATGTTGTTTTTAATTTTTTTTTTAACAAAATAGTTATAAAATAGTCCAATCTTATCAGCAGGTACTTTCTATTAAGGCTGTTGGGCGAAATATAAGATATTCTCTAAGTAACTTGTAAGTGCTGCTATTTTTTTTCGCTGTTAATAAAATATGTAGCCGGGATTAATAAAAACGGAAACTTTGTTTTAGACAAGAGCAATACTAAACCTTAAAAAAAAAAATTATTTTGAAAAAAAAAACAACAACAGCAAACTAACTTTTTTTACAAAGAAAGCAGCGCGATGTAGTGGTGCAATTATTTTTTTTCGCAACTGTACATACATACATATATTTGTATGTGTGTATGGAAAAACCTAAAACGTTTTGCGGTCCTTCTATTTTCCCGCAATTTACGCTCTCCGTGTGTAAGATGAGAGACATTTTTTCGCTCTTCTCTCTCCGTTTTGATTCGTCTGCGCTTCGGTCTTGCTTTGATTTAATTTCTTGATCAGTTCCATAGAGTAAAGTCTAGTATCCTGATCGACGAAAACCGTACGCCAGTCATGAGAGAGATCGAGAGGCAAACAGCTGGCGTTCACTTTTCGTGAAGCTTTTTTTTGACCTAGGTCTCCAGTTCGACGAAAAAAATACCAGAAAATTGCATCGCGTTGCCAACCACCTGAAATGAACTTTGGGTGAACCCTAGCAAAAGAATACAAAATTTAATCTTTCGGCGTGCGCTTCTCATCGGGAATTTAAAAAAATTGAGGGAAAAATTCAGAAAACTCGGAAAAGTCGGTTGCTGGAGTTCAACAGTGAGGAAAAAATAGCATTAATTCGATGCGTGGAGTCGCGCCCAGAATTGTGGGACCTTTCCAATAAAAAGCATTTTAATGCAACATTCATAAAAAGATCGTGGGAGGAAATAGCCTGGGAAATGGACATAGATGGTAAGTTATAATTGTACATTATTAAATATTTGTTAACGTGGACATATACAATATTTATGTTTAGATAATAGTTGCAAGCTGGCGTGGAAATTTCTACGGGACAGCTACAAGTACCACAAGTGCAAGCAGCCAAAGAGTGGAAGTGCTGGAGGAGACCCACTGGAGAAGCCAACAGGTGCTGCAGAGTGGGATTTCGCCCCCTACATGAGCTTCCTGCCGGACTTATCCACGCAGAGGCAGTAGGTTCTTGCCAAAAATTTTTTTACATTATACTAATATAATTTATTTTTAACAGAACAACCCGATCTGTGTTTTCGGAGAGCGACGGAGCCCAAGCAATGGACTACTCCATTGAGGAAACTCAAGACCCTATCGAAGTTGGCTTTTTGGAAGCGGAGGCGGAGCTGGAGGTCGAGCTGTCTGAGGTCCAAAAGGAAGATGACCCGGCTTCTGTGGGAGGAGAAAGACGCCAGTTAATAATTCAATAAAAAGAAAAAAATTTAACATTGCAAAATAACTTTTGTTTTTTAATTTCTTTTCACACCGGCAGACTCGTCTTGCCAAGGTACTTGAGAATATCCAGCACTTCCGTTTAAATATTCTTTAAGGTTGTTTCGAACCTTCTTACTGAAGTCTTGTGGGCGACCTCGTCGGCAGGGTCGCAAGTAGAGGTGCAGAAACATCGAGTGAAACATCGATAACATCGATGTTTTCAAAACATCGAAACCATCGATGGTTCGTGACCACCATCGATGTTTTCACTAAAGCCTAGTATCCAGATCGACGAAAACCGTACGCCAGTCATGAGAGAGAGCGAGAGGCAAACAGCTGGCGTTCACTTTTCGTCGGGCCTTTTTTTCACTTTGGTCCCCTGATCGACGAAAAAAATACCAGAAAATTCCAGAGCGTTGCCAGTCTGCGGAAATGAACTTTGGGTGAACCCTAGCGAAAAGATTAAAAAATTGAATCTTTTGGCGTGCGCTTCTCACTGAACATTATAAGAAATGGAGGGAAAAACTCACAAAAGTCGATTGCAGGTGTTTTCATGTGAGGACAAAATAACATTAATACTATCTGGGGTGCCTCTTGTCAGAGTAAAATGTTTTTTAGGTCCAGAATGTTCGAAAAAACACAATAAAAGTGCAGCTATGAACTTTAAATTAGCAAATAATTATCAGTAAATTAAAAAAAACAACTGTTAAATTTAAATTGTTTTTTAATTTCTTTGTACACCGGCCGACTTGTCTTGCCAAGGTATTTGATAATATCTTTTAAAGGCTCTTTCCCGCAAATACGATATTTGAATTTTACCTGCTTGTCAACAAACCCAGCTGATTGACAGTACGACCGTAGCACGCTTAAATCTGATGAACTCTCAAACTTTTGGTCACACTGGAAAGATTAAAGTATTTACGATAGCGTAATCGTTTGTCGATCTGGATACTAGGCTTAATAACTCTGCGCTCGGTGCGAACAAATTGTAAGTAAATTAATTTCTTAATTTTTTTCTAACAACTAACAAAATTGTTAATTTGTTAATTTTGACAAACATGTTAACTAAGAAATACTTTTTACAGATTACTGATGACAACGAATTAAAATTGGTTGCAAAAAAATATTTCTGTGTACAAGCCTCGTCCTGTGAGTCTGAAAGGGTGTTCAGCAAAGCTGGACAAACTGTATCTGATCGCAGAACAAGGCTTAAACCTGAAGTTGTTGATCAACTTCTTTTCCTCAACACTCGATGTTTCACTCGATGTTTTTTTTTGAAAACATCGAAAACATCGATGGGCACGAACATCGATGTTTCTGCACCTCTAGTCGCAAGTCGGTCAGGACAGTGCTTGGTATCTCCTGCATCGAGTAAGTTGCTGGACTCTCCCGCATCAAAAAATTATGCAAGGCACAACAGGCTGCAATGATTTTTTGAGCTTTGCATGGATTGCTTAACAAAGTTCGTTGTACAGCCATCCACCTAGCGCTCAGAATCCCAAATGCGTTCTCAATGCAACGACGAGCCCGACTTAGCCTGTAGTTAAAAATCCGCTCCTCACTATGCAGATCCTTGCCACTATACGGCTTCATGATGCGCTTATGAAGGGGGAATGCATCATCACCAACAATGTAATAAGGGGTTCGATGGCCGTTTATAACATTGTCCTCCGGAAAGGGCAGCTGGTCTAAGAGCAACTGTTTGCCAAGATCGCTGTGGGAGAAGGCATTCATGTCTCCTTCGCTACCAAAAGCCCCACATCAATGTAGATGAAGCGATAGTGAGCGTTGCAGATTGACATAAGCACAATCGAATGAAAGCCCTACATTACAAACGATTTTGTTATTAAATTCTATTGGCATTTAAAAAGTACTTATCTTATAATTGTAAAAAAGGCTTCCACTATTTGGCGGGCCTTTTATCGTCACATGCTTTCCGTCGACTGCTCCAATACAATTAGGAAAGTTCCATTCGTCTTCGAAGCCTTTAACCCACATCAGCATATTCCCCGTCGTCCACTTGGGGAATTCATCTCGCAAAGCAGTCCAAATGGCAATAGACACCTGGAGGAGAATCACTCCAAAATGTTGCTTACTTATCCGATAAGTTGATCCAATGTGGCGTTGCAGGTCTCCAGAGGCAAGAAATCTAAATAAAAGGATACAAAATATAAATATATTGTTATCGAAGACTAAATATTTAAAATCTAATTACTCTAAAACGATGGCCAACTTGGCTTTTATTGGTATAGCATCTGGGCGAGTGTTCCGTTTCGGTATAAGGTACTGCTCCACCATTCAAAAAAGAGTGTTAAAACTCTTCTGAGGCATGTGAAAGTTTTCGAAAAACATTGAGGGAGTCTGAAACAAGTTTTGAAACTTTAAAATGATAAGAAAATATTTTTTAGTGCACGAATATTAATACATTATTGAACAGTATTACTTACGTCGGAAGCATATCGGCCTTAAAGGGCCCTTTCCTGCAGATATGGGCTCACCCAATATTTCGGCCGCTGTCTTTTGTCCTCTTCCTCTAATGCTACAATACATGCTGCCATGCTGACAACCAAAATCAAGCTTGTGTTTTTTGAACTCAACATTTTCACTAAATTTTATTAGCAAGGCTTGGGGGTTTAATTTCACAAATTTATCTTCCTTTTATTCGCTCTTTATTCTTCCTAACCTTCGCACTCAGTATTGTCTGTTTCTGATTTATGCTTCTTATCTTACTTCGAAGCTTGGTCTGGCGTTGCCGTCCGCGGGTTCCTTCCGCTGGTTTTGTTCTGCTGGTCCGTTCAGCTCGGCTACCGCAAAAGAATGAGACCGATCTCAGCAGATCGCGGTTCCACGTCGACACGCTTTTTCCCTTTACAGCACGCTCGCGCTATTAACAGCACTAAGCTTGCCCTTAATCGCACGTTCTGCGCTTAACAGCACGCGCGCTCGTTCACGGGTGATTGTGATGACTTATCGATACTATCGGCATTCGCCCCGACTGGCCAGCTGACCGATCTTGCTGATCAATACTGGTAACCTCGCGCGAATTACAGTATCTAGGTATACTGGGGGTCGAGTCCAATGGGTGCTTCCAGTGTCTAGGTATACTGTGAGTTGAGTCCAATGGGTGTTTTCAGTGTATTTGATATAATTAAGTTTAATAAATGAGAACCTCCTTCGACTTCGGTCAAAATTATAATGAATCTTTATTGTTCTACAACCTAAAGAGTAACTTGTGGAATACAGTTAAGTTACAGTTACAGCTGTTAAGTGTTGGTTCTGCTTACTTCCGTTGGTTCCCAAACTCAGCGTTTATGCATCCAGTGTTTGGGTTAATTACCATTTGTCTGAGTCGCTGAGGTTTGGGGGCGGCGACGTGTCCGCAACAATGTGTGCAACGCGCGCATATTTGAAACTATTGAAAACTTAACATCTAATGAGACCTTCAGTGGCTGGAACTTAATAATACCTTCAATGGCTGAGATACTGGGTTAAGTGTGTGAGATGAGAGGCGCCTTAAGCGTCCTCACACCCCCCTTTACTTCGGGGTGGTTAAAGAAGTGGACGGAGGGCCACGTTGACTTCTTTCCGTGCGGTCACGCTGACCGCCGTCTGCCCGCCGTTCTCGTCACATCCGTCCAGGCCCAAGATCGCCGGCCTGGACGGATGTGACGAGAACGGCGGGCAGACGGCGGTCCGGGGTGTCTACCCTCCAGTCCGATGGGGCCTCGATCCAGTGTGCATCACCCCGGACTGGGTCCTCCGCTGGGTCCTCCTGGAGAGCCTGGAGTACCTCATGATGCTCCCCGCCGGTTAGGAATAGCTGGGGGTCTAGTTCCGCGTTCCCGCATTGGGACGCCGCCTGCGCTGGGGGTCCCAAAAATAGGTCCACAACCGCGGAGGGAATGGATCAGCCGGGTGTGGGTTGGGCTTCCCGCTGAAAGGGTCAGAGGCCGGGTGACAGCGCGGGTGGCGACAGCTCCAGGGGCGGGCGCCCAGTGTTGGTGGGTGTCCGCGGGGACTCTGCTTGGCCGCGTTTTGGTGTGGACTGGGGGGTGGAGCGTGCTGGAGTCCCGGGTGGGGTTTGGTTTCGCGGGTTCTCGGCAACAGCGGGGTCGTGGTCCTCGGGTACTTCCAAGTCGGGGCCGACCTCCCCTGCGTGGATGTCCAACACGTCATCTCCCTCGTCGTCACAGTCCCCCTGGAGAGAGCTGAGGCCACTCTCGGGCTCGGATTCCTCCGGAGCTGGGCGATGTCGCTAGCGTAGCCTTCCCAGGCCCGGTTCGCCTCTGCTATGGCTTGCGGGCGGTCCCTCCAAAACCGATCGTCGGCTCCGACGTCCGAGTCGTCGGTGGACGTTGGGCTCGCCTGGGGACTTTGTTGGGCCTCCCAGAGGCATTGTTGTAGGTGACCAAGGGCGAAGGAGTGGTGGTCTTGACCCTGCAGCCATGCGCCCAACCAGGACGTGGGTGGTCGATGCCCCGGGCTCGTCTTCGTCGTCCACCTGTAGACGGGCCAGGCGTGCAACCGTGGGGGTGGTTGGCTCCTCCTCCTCGTCGTGTCCGGTTAGGGGCTCGAACACCTCCGGAACGTCACCGCTGACCGCAATACTAGCGTCCGGAGACCTAGCCAGGGTCGACACGGAGTCAGTATTGCCCGGACCAGCGGGTCCTTCGGGCGTTCTCATGCCTCGCCATGGGTGGAGTTGGGCTGCGGGTGGACAAGACCGAGTCGTGGCCTGGGGACTCTCCGCTACTGCTGGTGGTAGAGCCTTCTCGGTGGTCGAGGGTCGGTCCGCTCCCTCCACTCGATAGGGATCCATCTGTTAAATGTGGTTGTCTGTGAAAGGTTGTGAGGAGTTAAATAACCCCTCACAAATGAATGAGAGTTTGGAGAATACAGCTGGAGAGAGTTTGGAGAAATACAGCTGGTGAGAGTTTGGAGAACACAGCTGGAGAGAGTTTGGAGAAATACAGCTGGTGAGAGTTTGGAGAACACAGCTGGTGAGAGTTTGGAGAACACAGCTGGTGATAGTTTGGAGAATACGGCTGGAGAGAGTTTGGAGAGAACGTGTAACGGTAGAAGGCGACGGACTTTGGACCGAGTATGGTGCCGTGCGCAAAAACCGAAAAGGAGAAGCCGAGAATTAACGGGATACGCCGGCCTATATAAGCGGGCCGAGCGCAGGAAGCGGGATCAGTCGATCACAAGGAGTCAATCCAGCAAGATCAGTAGACAAGCAGTAAATCAGCGAGGAAAACAAGTCAAGTCAACATCAGGAGGAAGCAGAGCCGCGCCGAGTCAAAGGAGCAAGATCGCTACATCAAGACGTTCGGGACTTAGAGTTGAAGTCTCCGAGCTGAGAAACAGGTAGCTAAGGTCTTTAAGGCATCACGCGGCTAAGTCTAGGCGCTTTGTTCTAATTCTTCTCGCGATTTGAGCTTGGCGTATTGCTCGGCGAATCCGACAGAAGTGAATAAAAAGAGTCCTTCGACAAAAAACCGTGGGAAGTTGTCCAGAACCAGCTGCCGTGCGAAAACAATTGCCTTGTCGAATTCCGGCGTACGCCTGAACCGGCAGGCGAGAATTGTGCAGGCCCTGGTGCGACTAGCCAAGAAGGACGCGCGTCCGAACCACGGGTGTCTCGAGAGGCGTCGAGACCACTGTAGTTCACCGCCAGAGTCCTAGACAGGCAGCTAACCGAATCCCGAGAGCCAAAGACCCGCTGCACCTAGTCTCACAAGAGCACGCGGACAACGGAGACAGGATTCACGCCGTAAGCAGAGCGAGGACATCGAGGACACAAGAAACGACGAGCAGTCAGCGCAGGCCCAGCAGCAACCGAGCCATACTACAACATATCCATTCCACGGCTAAGAGGCGAGGGCGGAAGCGTTCGTCTTGAACCTAGCGTCCTGCCACAGGGACTGCATTGGCGGCCTTCCGGCGTATGCCTGAACCGTCAGGTAGAAACTGTGTAGGCGTCTGGTGTGACCGGTCGGGACAGATCCAGGGACAGGAGGCTGTGACTGCGAAAGGCGTACGCTTTGAGAGCCCAGTGCCTGTTCACGCTAGTCTGGGAACGGTGACGCATCCCTAGACCCTCAAAGCCCCGAGGCCAAAGACAGCGGAGGCGTTCCGGAGCAGCGAGCAACGAGGCAGCGGAGTGCGACGGTGGAGCAGCCGCAATTCTCTCCATGTCACCATTAGTCCCAGGCCGACGGACAAGTCGGCGAATAAAGATCCTAATATAAACATCCCAACATTCTGTGCGTTCTCACTAGACAATCGGGCGGTCACGTTTATATAAATTTGGTGGGACGAACAACACACATCTTCTGAGCTAGCCGCACGATACTCGTAGCGAGCAGACATACAAAATCAGTTCGCTACAGGGGTAATGAAATATGGGGACAAAGAAGAAAAATTGATAAATGATAACGGCAGCGCTTGTAACACACTTTCATTATCTGAAGAAAAAACTATTCTTCCATTGAAAGAATTTATTATAAAACAAGAAAGGAAAGCTAACTTCGGGCGGAGCCGAAGTTGATATACCCTTGCAGAATACTCTGTAAATTATATTCTCCAAAATTATTCATATGATGCATTCTTAATACTCATAAAAAATCCGAACTTCCTAACTTTAACAACAACAAAGTTATGTCATTTCCAATCGTTCAGTTATATGGCAGCTATAGGATATAGTCGGCCGATCCTTATGAAATTTGATAGGTCGGATTGATTGGCCAAAAATAAAATCCATAGAAAATCCCAACTTCCTAACTTTACAAACACCAAAGTTATGGCATTTCCGATCAATCAGTTATATGGCAGCTAAAGGATATAGTCGGCCGATCCTTATGAAATTTGGTAGGTCGGATTGATTGGCCAAATATAAAACCCATATAAAATTCCAACTTCCTAACTTAACAAACAGCAGAGTTATGGCATTTCCGATCAATCAGTTATATGGCAGCTATAGGATATATTCGGCCGATCCCGGCCGTTCCGACTTATATACTGCGTGCAAAGGAAAGAAGGGTGTGTGCAAAGTTTCAATTCGATATCTTTAAAACTGAGAGACTAGTTCGCGTAGAAACAGACAGACGGACAGACAGACGGACAGACGGACAGACGGACATGGCTATATCAACTCAGGAGGTGATCCTGATCAAGAATATATATACTTTATAGGGTCGGAGATGTCTCCTTCACTGCGTTGCACAACCTTTCGTAGAAACCCTTAACTTTTACATTTATGAATCAAGGGCAGGTATATACAACCCGATAGTTTGATT